ACAGGCTTGTCTGTTTGAGCAACTGGCTCAGTGCAAAGAAGTACACAGGGTTGGGAGAGAGTGTAAGAGAGAGAGAGAGGTTCCAGGTTGTTGTGTTGAGAATATTCAGGAGAATATTTGTCATTGTTCCAATGATAATAAACAAACACTTGCATAAAGCGTATTTGTCCACTCTAATGTAGATAAGAGTATTACAAATATTCCTCTAAGGTACATTTAGAACGGATACAAAATGTGTGATTGATCGCGATTAACTATGGACATCATGCGATTTAAATATTTGTAATCGACTGACAGCCCTAGCAAAAATATATCAGTAAATATTCCACTGGTGAATGTCTGAAGCTAATAAGTGTTATCAAAAGCGGTTGCTAAGAAGTGACTAAATGACACAACCTTTCCTCATCATGGTGAAAATGAGCAGTTTGTTTGTTTTGTTTGTTTGTGCTTTTACTTCTAGTGATTGCTTTGGGCTTCAAATATTATAAAGTGATGTTAAAATGTGAGATTATCCTACTGAATAAAACGTGTAAGTATCATGAACATTTGTTTGCCACAGATCTTCTTTCCTGTAATATTCCAAAATTCTATTTTAAAGTCATTTTTAAAGCCCTCAAAATCTCAAAAATGTACCCGCATCTTTTTAGTTGAATCTTCATCCACCTGCCGAAGTCTACTGAAGCTAGATTGCGGATTTCCCCAATTTTTCAAATCTTAATTCTAAGCTTGGCTAAATGGATCCTAATTCCAAATCAGTACTAAACACAAGAAATATAACGAGCGTATCTCACAATATGTTCCCCAAATAATTGTAAGTTTTGTTCATTTATTTGAAAGTAAATAATTGTTTTTAGATATAGCCTACTAAATGTGTCTTTAAAATGTGTTTATTCACATTTACAGCCGTAAGTAAATCAAACACTTACATATTTTTACAATATTACTTATTATAAGTCACTTTGGATAAAAGCGTCAGCTAATTGAAATGTTATGTTATAATATTGAATTAATCTGTCATCACAGTATAACTACTGTAGAAAATCCAACACAAGCGTCTTTATTTATACGTCAAATAAATACAACCAAATTATTTTAATAGTGAATTTAATTAGATAGTGAAAGTGCTACAAAAAATAGGAATATACTTTTGAAATGAAGCCATGAGCAGTTATAATACAGCAGTTGTTGATGACTTGATATGAGCTTTGCAGTAACCCAGGGATCCCTTTAAAAAGCGTTTTGTCACTGCAGCGTGCCAAAGTGGTTTGATGGACTGAATAAAGGCTGTGAGGACTGAACTATCACGATGAATGAACTACCAGTAGTTTCTGCATGTAGGAGTTGAGCCACTTCTGTCTCTCCATGGATGTGAGGAGTTTACTCTTCTCCCTGAAGGCAGCGTCGTCCGCCACCACCATGTTCCTCTTCATGCTGGCACCGTGCGTCCACTCTGCAGGCAACGCCCCCCGCACGCTGGAGACACACACGAGGCCCCAGGATCAATCCAGGTACCAGAGTATAGGAAAATATATGACTTAACTTTAAAATGTCTCCACATAATGTCATTTGTTGCCGAGTGTTATCTCAATCGGAACCATTTCAACAAAGAGAGTTTTGATGGCCTCTTAAAGAAGCGTGGGATAATGGGAGTTGTTGTCTTCAACACAATTTCCGTCATTCCAATGAGCTTCCTGTGAGGATCTTTTATATATATATATATTGGTTTAGAGTTGGCAATTAATTTGTACAGTGAGTACCAGTTACTTTTATTAACTGTGAGGACAGACATAAATCATTTGTTTAGCTTGTAAAAAAAAAATTGTTTACAAATCAAAACTCTTGATGAATACATACCCAGAATAAAAAGCTTAGAATCTAGCAGTCATTTCTGAATATTAATAATATCTTGGTGGCACTTCGGTGTTTCTATACATTAAAGGTGACCTATCATGCAAAATGCACTTTTATACATGAATATGTATCCCCGGTGTTCCAGGGAACTCACCAAGTGTCAGAAAACACAACCCTCTCTATTTTCCTCCATACCCAAATCTCTTAAAAAGAGGCTGCAACGGATCTGATACAGACTGATCCAGATTTGAACACTTCTATGACGTCACAAAAGTGGCGCTACGGCTATTGGGCCAACTCCACCAATCAGGAGGAGACAGCCACGGACATTGCCGTTCGAAAGCGCTGGAGACGCTGTAGTACATATGCCAGGCCTGTAGATGGTGCTGTTCTCACAGAATCAGCCCATGCAAAGACAGTGTTAAATTGAGCGAAATGAGGAATGGCTAAAATGCATGATCTGTTTGGTTTTTTGAAAAATAAAAAGTATAAATATGCCTTTATATAGGTATGGTCCTACACTATATTATTCAAATATAGCATGATAGGTCCACTTTAAGTGAACTTATATTAATAGCAGGTTTCTTTAAAGTTCTCCTGGCTCTAGCTTCATATTTATAGTACTATCATCTTTCACATCTAATTTTCAAATAAACCAGCGCATCAAATAATGAAATACCCTATAACAGATGTGGGAACATATTAGTTATAACTTTAGCACTTGCGGCAGTGCTGTGCCTGGCCAAATTGGGGCCCTAAGTGACATTTTGTAATTTCACATTAGGTTCTCAGACATACAAATCTGTCAGTAAATACCCCACTAGTGGATGTCTGAAGCCTCTATGGGGCATTAAAACAGTGGTTGCTAACAAGTGTTCAAATGAGACGACTTAACCTAATCACTCCCAACATTATCTGCCTTTAGCCTAGCGGTGGAGACATGAAGTCATGTAACTGTGATTTACTTTGTGTGTAGTCTAACATTAGCTATTTATACCTGGCTATTGCATTTACTCTTTCACTATTTTAAAAGAGAGCCCTTCCTTTAAAAAGACCTCATCACTGCAACACATTATGGCATTTCCGCGTACTAACTACTAACTAGACAGTTACCTTTTCTCTGCCCTCTCAGGGCCAAACAGCCACGCCTCTCTCATCAGTCCTGCCTTGTTATTGGCTCCTGCGCCGAGGCTGGGCGCTGACATCATTTCAATGCTCCAATCACGGAGAGAGATGAAGGGGAAGAGGACATCCCATTCCTCTCGTTTAGGTTGCTCTGAATCACTTCTGGAATCAGAAAAGAATAACTATTAAACTTATTGAAATCTCCGATATGTATTTTTTTGTATTAAGTAGGAATATCAAAACAAATACAACATATAAGGGTATTCATGTATTGTTAGTTAGTTCACTCACTGTTATATTACAGTCATATAGCTATAACCTTGATCACATTTAGTGAGTAAGCACCTGAGATGAAGTCGATGCTGAGGAAAGCCAGATGTCACCAAGATCATACCCAGAATGCAAAGCAACAGGAAGGACATCCGAGGAAAAGCCAGCAGATCAGACATCCTAACAAAAATTAAACAATGAACATAGTACAATTTACATGTTAACTGAGTTGCGTATTTATAATCTTCCAATTTATTTCCAATAAAATAAGGTAAAAACAATAAAAGCAGAAATTTATTTGTATCTTTATGAATGCTAGTATGTTTTCTACATTTTGAATTTAACACACAATTCTCTCTCACTATTACGCTACCAAATTGCTGTTTTTTCCTTAGAATTATTTAAATTCGGTGCTAAGGCTTGTTATAATTTACACAAGATAATGTGTAATGCCCAAAATTCCATGTAATCTCATTATACCATATATTTGAAAAAAGGTTAACTTAGGATATGTCATCATTTCTATGTAATTCCCTTTGAGTCCTCCCAAAGATCTTGAAAATAGAAAACAGAAATCTACTGAAATGTGCCCGACGATTTAGAAGCTGCTCTATTTATATATATATATTTGTCTATTTATGAATTATTAACTAAACCTAACTTTTGAAAATCGTCTTTTTATTTTGTATGTGTGGAGACAAATTGTGTCAGTCACGGTCACAATCTTTCTTCTTGAAAAACAAATAGAATTGATTTGAATGCATTCTTAAGCTGCAACGCAACTTAAAGTAATTAGTTTCATGCAAATAGGGTTGGTTAGGGTTAGGATGGGATGTTATAGTTGTCAGAAGGCAGGCAATACGCTGATTTCTTACCTGGTTCTCAGGTCGTCTTGATGCTTGTCTGAAGGCTCAAGGCTGGACCACAAAGATTAAAGGTCAGGCGTCACACCAGCAGAGAAGGATTCCAGTGCAAACAACAAATCACAGCGACAGAAATGACTACTCTACTTGCTGTCAGGTACGTTTGTTACTGCTTCCTACCTTCTTTATTCTCCTGTTTTTTCTGATTACAAAGAAGATTAAATAAAAACTTGAATTTCCACTTCTACTTGGTTCTGTTAGCGTCTCTCTTTATCGTACATACTTATATACCCTGGACTGCCGTGTTTTTAACCCCAGCCTCCAAACCCACCCACCCACACATATACGCAAGCGTACACATCCTTCACCAGATCAAACTATCTTTGAGTTTAGTGTGCAGGAGGACAGCCCCGGGGGAAGTGTGTTAGCTTGTTAGTGTCCTGTTTCAATGACTCTTAGTCACGGTGCTGGTCAGAGCCCACCATCTTATTATTTAAAATCTATATAGTGCGTGTTTGTATTTATGCAAGGGTGGTCATTCATATTCTGTGGCAGGTTGTATACTGGTTGGACGAAGTCTACGGCATTCCTGTTTTACTCCTGGTCCATTATAGAATATTCTAGAAAACACACGTTTGAAATAGATAGCACATTTATCTTACTTTTTAATTACTTGTGTCAAAGTTAGTGGAGTAGGGTGGACCCAAATGCAGGAAACTGATAGATTGAATGGAAAAATGACTTACACAACGAACAAGGATCCAACCAAGACTGAACAAAAACCAGGGTTGCGAATTGTTGAAAGGGCTAATTGTCACTTTTGCTTTGGAGAATTCTTAACGGCGTGAAATAAAGGAAGTGACAGTCATGATAAGAGCTGTTAGGCTTCTCTAGGTGATAGGAAAGAAGCTTCAGTTTTCTTCTTTAGCTCACTGGACCATCCTTTCTGAAAGGAAAGGAGATAATGGTGTCCCACATTTGTTGCACCCGCATCATTTCAAATGATGCACCATTGGACTGTTCACGGAAACAAACGATCGTGACAGGGAAATGCTGATCTTGTAAGTTACGGTGCTAATTAAGCATTTTACAAATAATGCCCTAACTTGCAAAAGTGCTTTTATGTTTTCAAACGTTCACCACTATCTTAAACCAAAAGGGAAATATGAGTGGGAAACCTACTTATGTGTTCATTGCATTGCATATGAGTCCATCAGGTCCATGAACTCCCCCTCAGCCTACTAAATCATAAACCTGAGAAAAACGTCCGAAACCAATGTCATCCTTGATATTCAGTGCTGCATTTTGTTGGACTAATGTGTTTTAGAAAATGTTGGAAAACACCTTGTTAGTATGCATGTCAGTATTTAAATACCTTCCATCTCCACCAGCTTTGCAGGAAATGTATATATATGATATGATGTATAAAAGGATGTTTCTATTCACACAAACCTATATTTGAAACTTTGTACCTGGGTCATGAAACACTTTCTGTGTGGATGGACTAAAATGGAAAATAGATAAAAGCTGAGAGGGTGGAGATTTCCGAGAGTTTGTCAGCATGCAGGAAGCTTATTACCATTTAAGGACCTCGTTATGGGCCTGGTTGGAAATAACGACCTGCAGACAGGAAGCAGCTGGCCTTAACAATGGCTCTGCAACACACGTCTTTTATAGATAACTAGCGGAAGTCACAAAGTAGTATCACCTCACAACACCTATGTTCTCATCAAAGACAATGTCATCTCCCATTGGTACCATTGTCACTGAATTGCTTAACAGAATCAAAATACTTTATTTATCTCAAGGGAAAATAAGGTTTTGTGACAGTTGGACCATTTTAGAATAAAATACATAAATATTTATAAATACAGAAGAAGTTGAAGTAAAAATGTGCAGTGCGTCTTATGCACAGGAACGAGGCAGGACGTATTCCACAGCACAGAGACCTCTCAAGGCTCATGGTGAAGACTCTTGGTTCAATCCCTCTTGGCCCGAAGAGTCCAGGGGCCTTCGATGGAACGCTGCCATGTATATCCTCATGCATTGCATACACTCAAAAAATTCCTTCTGACTCCTAGCAAATGCGACTACTTTTTATTAACCAGTAATCTTAAATTGCCCATGATGAGACGACTTTCTCCATAAGTCTGGACTCGGCTATCCTCCCTCGTTTCTTCGGTTTACCCTGCATCCTCGTTGTGTTCGTCTCAAGTTTTCAGCCATCAGTTGTAAATCACCTCTAACCAATCATAACAAATTTGTGGAAACATTGGTTTTTGAATTTTGTGATATTGCAGTGTCTGGACACCCATTAATACTGTCCATTTCAAACAGGGAGAATATTTTGAGTAAAACTTGGTTAGTGTTTTCGGATGCTTTGACTATATCAAAAGGCAATGTTGACCCTTGAATCTGGGACTCATACGTTTCAAGGTATTTTTCTGGCTGCATTCCGCATCCTTCTTCAACACATGGAGATGTTTTGGGGTTAAACACATTGTTCTGATTACACATGCAATTGTTCTCGAAAGGCATGATAACATCCAAGAGCTGCTGCCCAAAACTACTGTTCGGCGCAGTTATTGTTCAACACGGCTTACTGTCATTGCGAAATGGATTTATTGTAAGATAAGGAAACTGCTGGTTGTAGCATAAATCCAGTATTACTTTGACTATGCTTTTTGACTAAATAGCAGAATGCTGTTCATGCTAAATATATTTGATTGAATTGAATATTCCCCAAAGAACCCATTTGGGAACCCTGGATTTTATGGTTTGATATGTTGTTGTTTCTTTTATGAAACAGAGCTTGAGAAAGCAGTTCAGATCTTACGTTTTCTCACTTCTGTCTCCTTTTACTCCAATTACTGCATGAAGCTGACGATTGTCGAATGGGAGGGGGGGGGGGTGCTAATCTGACAATGACTTATGATGGGTAGGTTCATGAGCTGTAATAGAGATGGATTATGTCCCTCGTGACTAAGTTTTATATAGTGTCAATAAATAGCCTGTTCTGTTTATTACCTCCCTTAAATCCCTTTACTTGATAATGTCAATAAAGCCAATGAATGTGGTTTCCTTGACATCCATTTTGTCATGACATCCACTGTTGATATCAGATCAGATAATTGAACAAACATTATCTGACCTCCGTAAGTATAAGATTTGTATTTTTATTGTCATCTTACTGTGGTGTAGAGAGAAAGAAGACGGTTCCCAATTGTCATCCTTCCTGTTTCCTTACTTACTTTTTCCTTTTTCTTTGTAACCTTGAAGCAGTCTGATGGAGTGGTTCAGCGATGACGCATTTTTGTAGACCGACCTCAAGGAAAGTTAGCAAATGCAAAGAAGCATCTTATGTCTGGTAGTTGTATAGGGGTGAGGTCTAGGTTGATTCATTAGCTGTTATTAGTGGCACCTGTGTGACAGACATGTTACGGCTGTATGTGTTCCTGTGCCTTTTACCCTTCTACGCAGTTGCTCTTCCCAGGTGTGCTGCATTGCTGTGACGAGGTGCACAACAAAGTGCACCTGGAAAAGAAAGTGTTTAAAAGACCAGTGCCAGCAGCAGATGGGGGGGCCTCTGGGGTGGCGACTGCTGGTGTTTCTGCCTCTTAACTTAGGATTCATCTTAAAAGATGTATTTCAGTGATGTATTTAGGTCAATGGTGGAAGCAAGGATCTCCTACCAGGGGATGTTCAGAAAAGTAGCTTGAATCCGGGAGATATCAATGGCCTGGCGGTGAGTCAACCACACTTTTCCCGTTGGACAGGAAAATGTGCATCTCATCCAAAAGGCACTAGGTAACGGTCATACTGTCCATTTAGGATCTCATACTAGCCTAACTAAATTACAATGACATTACTTCACGTCAACACTGTTAGGTTAAACACGAATAATGGTCTACGTGATGACGTTCAGTAGTCTTATACTGTCCCTTTTTTTCATGGCACATAGAAGCTTCAGACATTTACCAGTGGGGTATTTACTAACATATATTATGTCCTACGACAAATTGTAAAAATCCTAAGCTTGTGTTAAAAACAGATCCTATTTCAGGCGTTTTACAAACATGTATGTACGCGCCTTGTGGACAAATTGTATTGCCATGAATGGGGATTGGTTTCTTCTTGCTTTGATTTAAAAAAATAAAAAAACATTAGCGATATTAGAGGTTGTAGGTTAAAGGGCTGTTGGGGGTTCTGACAGCTAACATTGTCATAGATAATGTTGTAGGACTTCAGCATGAGCTCAATCTTTTTGGGGGGGGAATACCCCAGATGGAGGTTGTTCAGTTTGATGCTAATCTTTCGTCAACACCGCTAACCTAAAGTCGGCTAATGTTCGACGTGATAAGGTTTAGTAGTCTCATTAGCAACCGCCCCCAAAACATAGAGGCTTCCGGCGTTCACTAGTCGGCTATTTACTGACGTATTTTATGTTGTAGAACAAAACTTGAAAATATCTGAAACTTGTGTTAACCAGACATTATTTTAGGCATCTAACCAAATACATTTACCATGGGACGAAGGAACCGGAAATGGTAAAATGCTAACTCGTTGCCAGGTTTTAGGACTAATTCCTGCCCCACCAATTTATAACCTTGCTCTTGTCTCTATTCTGTGAATTGGCACTCTTTAGAAAGGGTTTATACATAATAAGTAATGGCGTTATAACCGTTTATATACTGTGTAAACATTAAAAATGTAAACCTGAAACAGCATTGGAAAATTGAAAAAGCAAGTTTATTCACAAGACAATCAGTATAAGCTTGTATAAAAAATGTAAATTTGCTTATGGCTGCTGCTAATATATACCTGTGCTTGTAATTCTGAAAAGTCCTTGTACCCTTTTAAGTGCTTTGACTGCTTTTTGTCACAGAATAATGTCAATGGGTCTGAATTATCTGGACTTTAATAAAGAGAGGAAAGATTAATTAATACATTTGACTCAAAGTCTGTAGAAAGTCTCAAGCATCACAAAGCAGAACGTAATATAAACAGTATAAACATGATCATATACGTGCATGTTCCAATAATATGTATTTTTACATTTTATAAACCTGCAGTCCCTGGGGTTCCAGACCCCATGTTGACCTGCAGAATCAGTGTCTGAAATATTTGTTGGTGGATTCAGTAACCACAGCAATGCTGTCACCATGGTGATGTAGTTACCATAGCAATACAACATCTGCCACTGTGATGCTGGAGTAGCTACAAGCTGATCAAACTCTCCTCCTCCACCTCCTGCTCCACCAAGTCCACATCAGCAGACTCATCTGGGGAGAAGCTTTCTGCAGGTGGAGCGGATGGAGATGGTGGAGCCGGTGGTGCTGGTAAAACAGGTGGAGCAGATGGAGCTGGAAGAACGGGTGTTGCTGGTAGAATGGGTGGCGCTGGTAAAACGGGTGGTGCTGGTAAAACGGGTGGTGCTGGTAAAACAGGTGGCGCTGGTAAAACGGCTGGCGCTGGTAAAACGGCTGGCGCTGGTAAAACGGGTGGTGCTGGTAAAACAGGTGGTGCGGGTCGAGTGCGTGGTGCTGGTACAGCTGGTACAGCTGTTGGGGCTGATGGAGCTGGTAGAGCTGTTAAAGCTGGCGGAGCTGTTAAAGCTGGTGGAGCTGGAGGTGCGTCAGCCGGGCAGCTGCGGGGGGGCGGGCTGATGGGCTGGTCGGCATGGTGATAGACGAAGCAGTAAGCTCCAGGCTTGGAACTGCTCTTAACAATGAGGGCCAGCTCTGTAGGGGCCATGGGCCGGTGAACACCATCCACATAAACACTGAGGATGTAGGAGTCTGGGCGACAGGGACAAGGAAGCATGAAGTCAACCCCGAAATGTAAATAACATTTATTTTTTCTTTTAAAGGTCACCTATAAATGCCCTTTTTGATGTATTTTTTACATAAATATGTGTCACTGGTGTGTCAGGAGACTCACAAAGTGTCTTTTTTTAAAGCTAGGGACCCAGAATCAGCACTTCTCTAAGAGGGCTCAAATAGAGGGGTATGAGGCTGGAATGGGTGATCTGTTTAGTATTTTGAGCAAAACACTTCATAGACATGTTTTTATATATATCTGAGACCTATAATATGCCTAAAAATAGTATAATAGGATACCTTTAAGTTTCCAGTAATATTAGCAGTTATCTAACAATCTGAGTTATCTGCTTAACAACAAAGACAGGAAGTTACTTCTTTTTCTTTTTTTAAGGAATTGTAGATGGAGAAATTACCACAGGGTAAAGGTAGTTATTGCATTATTGGAGGTGTAGTTATAAGCCCTACTAGGGACTACCAGTCAGGCTATCTAATTCTCTGCTGCATCAGCGTTAAAAATCCTTTTTAGAAAATCTTTCTCTTGCAAGTCCCCCAACTTTAGCATAATCAAACTGCTGGAATGGCCCTTTTAGGTCAGACTCTGAATTGTGGTGAATGAAACAAATGAAAAGCCAGTGCCAACAGTAGCATGTGACAGTACCTATCAGACATACAGTACCTTGTTCAAAGCGTGCGGCACACTGCTCAGCCAGCTGCTCCATCGTGGTGGTGGGCAGGACCCCCAGAGTTTTTAGGTTGATTCCAAACTCTGGACAAGACACTGTCAGGAAGTCCTGAACAACAATAAAGCACAAAAAGTTACTCAAAGACCAATGGATGGACACATCTTAGCTGGTTTCTCTATTATGATCTGTGTGAATACTCACTGAATATTATGATACGTACCGCAATAAACCGTATTTAAATAAAGTACATTATTTAATTTCATATTCTGTTCTTGTACATAACATATTCTATTTACATGTATGTAGACTTTTTGCACTTTTACATTTATTTATGTTTTATGTTGCATTGTTGAAGGAGTTCAGGTCAGAAGAATTTCATTGCCATTTCTACACTGTAGCTTATGTGTAGGCCTATATGACAAAAAAACCTTTGAATCTTGAATTTAATCTTGAATACTTCTCTGCTATTTTATGGCGCATTTCCACCATGGCGCGGAGCGCGGTTTAAGTGTGCCGTGTCGTGCCGGGTCCGTTTTTGGTTGCGTTTCCACTATGCCTAGTTCCGGCCCGGGGCAAATTTTTCACCTTTTTTCTGGCCCGACAAAATCGTGGTTCTATCGGGGTCAACAACCAGGCTGAGTACTGTATGCTAAACTAGAGAGAGATAATCACTGGCAAGAGGGCTACAACTACAGCAAGATGAACATATTTGACCGTGATTTAATTGTAATTCACGTTTCAAAATGATGCCGAAGTAATAACATACAGTGATGCAAATTAGTCGCTTTTCGGCGCCTCCCGCTTTTTTTAACGCTGCTTTGGTTGACTTGTGTAATTCGTGGAGAACCGACGAGTTTTCGTTTTGGGGGGGGTG